TTTGTATCATTAGAAAGGAAAATTTAAAAAAACACATATTTTTTACTTATAGCGATAGTGAGCAGCCTAAATATTTAAAAAAAAAACATATTTGGTTATCGTAGATTTTGAGATTTATACCTGAGTCTAGTACGGTATTTGGCTTGTAACAAAAAAAATCAGTAAAGTAATGCATTATAATTATTATTGCATCAAAGTATTAGAAAGTAAGCCAATAAGATTCTTACAATTTACAGTTACACAATTTAATCAAATTAATTTATATGAGTAATCTAAACATTATCATTATATACAAATTTTTTTAGTATATAGTTATAGAAGTTATAGATATAGTAAACTTTTTTTTTACTTAGTTAATTTGTTTTTATCTTTTAAGTAAAGTTGTTTAGCATAAAATTTTACATCTATATAGTTTGCTGATTTTCGTTTTTTCAAACATTTTACTAAGTAAAAAATAGGGTTAAAGTTATAAAAATATTTTTGTAAAAAAAAAACTAATTTTTTTTATAACTTTAACCTCATTTTTCTCTTAGTAAAAGGTTCGAAAAAACAAAAATTAGTGAAGTATATAAATGTAAAATTTTATTCCAAACAACTTTATTTAAAAAATAAATACAGGTTACCTAAGTAAAAAAAAAAGTTTACTATATAAAAATGGTAAAAGTTTTAGTTTATCTATATATAACTTTTTTTCTTACTATGTCAACATATTTTTATTTTCTAAGTAAACATGTTTAGAACAGCAGTTTACATATAATTACTAATTTATTTTTAAAATTTCAAAATAAGTTAATATAAAAGGAACTTAAGCTTAAAATTTATAGTAAATTTATATGTTTTTATTATAATTTTTATTATAACTTATTAATATATTCCCTAACTGTTATCATATTATAAATGTTATGTTATTGATGCAGTTCATTATCTAAGTTAATGTAGCCTGCCAACTTCCTCAGGATCGCCAACAACACTAGTAAAATTTTCACTATCATGTAGTTATTAACCAATAATGTGCAAGAGTTAGTATAATGTAACACAATTAGGAAGATTCAAAACAAATGTTTGCTTTGCAAAAATTGCTTGTTTCTCAAACAATTACATAAGAAACCACCTTTAGTGTCCTAACAAAATATTTTCTTTGAGCGATTTTACTATTAAAACTTCTTTAACTCTAACTATAGCATAAACTCTAATCTTAACCTAAATGAACTTTAAAAAATTTTGCCATTATTACGTAACTGTAAAATTTTGTTGGCACTCCTGAGTAAGATGTAGCCTGTCTCAATGATCATTTGACTAATTCTAAATTGAATTGGTCAATTTAATGAAAACAAATCTGCCTATATATCAAAATTGTTATGGCAGATTCTCAATTTTGATTGGCTGTTCTCATTTAAATATTTTTGCCTACTCGTATAGCGACTTTTCCAAAATTTTCCACACTCTGCTAATACTCCAATTTTTTGTAATTACATTATTGATTTTTTTGATGATGCTTATTAATTAAATAAAATTTGATTAATATTTGAATTATAATAAGAAAAATTTTTTGTTATTCAAGTTTATAATACTAGCAATTTGGCATTGTAAACTTAAATAACAAAAAATTTTTCTTATTACAATTCAAATTTTATTTAATTGTTCGAAGTGAAGCAAGAACTATATATTTACTCCAAATCATGCAATGTTCATTGACACTACTCAATCAATTTATTATATTAAGTTACGCTACATAATTCTGCATATTTCTCAAAATAACATATATGGGATCTTTGCGACTTTATAAGCTATTGTTATGTGAGATTTTTATTAAAAAAACGTAATAAATCTATTTTTAAAAAAAAATCCTAGCAAAGATTCTATATAATATTATGGAGGTTTAATATATTTATATATAAAAATATATATATCTTTTAGCCCATAATATACATACTATATATAAATAACTAATTTACAAAAACTAAAATACTATATAAATAAAGTTTTTAACTAATTTTCACCCTAGGTGATATCACCTACATCGGGTGAAGATCCTTTTATTTTTGTATTTATATATTTTTGATTTACTAATATAGCTTTATAGCTTTATATATAATGATAAAAAAAAAAGAACTTCTTATATCTTTATAAAAATATACCGCCATAGCGAAGTGGATCTACATATTATTTCTGCACTATACGTATGTACATACAACAAAAATTCTATATATAGTACTACTCCATATTTTTTATTAGTCAACATTTGAACACGTTAGTATATAATGACCAACTTGTTTGCATTTATGACATCTTCTAACCTTTTTTTCTGAATCTTGATTATTCAAAGCTTTAGTTACTTTTTAGATTTCATCTTCATTCCTCTGATTAGTACTTTGAACAATATGTTGAGCTTTTCTTGAAAGTTCACCACTGGATTTATATCTATTTGGCTATCGACCTTTATGTAGTATGTGTAAAGGATCTTCAATGCTTAAAGAACTAGCATTGTTTTGTGTGCTTAACAAATTATTTTTCACCTCTTCAATAAAATCTTTCAGGTGACTAATAAATTTCTTGACTCTGTCTGCCCGAATTGCTAGATCAAGAGCTTTTTTGGCATAACCCATTCTGAACCCATACTTTTGTTTAGGTCCTTGTAGCTGTTCAATATTACCTGATTGTTTAAATTCTACCAAATATTGAAACGTTAAAGGTTGGTGTAAAGGTAGTTTCAATTCTTTTCCAGCGAAATAATAAGTTGGTATATTCTCTTGACTAGTATTATATTTGCAGTTATTATACCAATGCCAAGAAATTAATGAAATATGGAAATGTATATTAGTTGAGTAAGACATAATACAAAAAAAGTATCAGCACACAATTCCAAAAGGCAAGTGCACAAATGCGAGTCATCATTAAGAAGAATTATATGCTATAGTTCTGAGTTTTGTATACTATGTCTAATTATTTTCTACACTTCTTTAATGGAATCATGAGGTATTTTTTCTAGCAATGATGAAAATAATAATTGTGGTTGATCATAATTATCTTCTCTGGCTATATCTTGTTGATAAGAATCGTCTGTTATCTATACCAAAGAGAAGTTCATTAGCAATATGTTGGCTACTATTTTTTCTATACTATAATTTTCTTAACTAACTTAATAAATCTTACCTCTAGTAGTGATTGCTAGTCATTAATTAAAGACACTTTATAGCATAGTAATTGAGCTATTTGATTATGCTACTTTTGAAGAATTTGTAGTGTTAAATACTCTTTTAATATTGTATCTAGTCCGGAAAAGTATTCATTACTTATACTTGGCATCTCTCTTGTTGGAATTTCATTTTTAAATTCACTTAAAAGTGCTTTTTTTGACTGATTATTAAAAACTTTTTGAATTTCTTCAACAACATCAGCCAAATATGAAGTTCTGGTCAGCTTGTCCTTGATTATTTTATTATATACCTCTACTCGCTATGTGCTTTGAATCCCAGCGATGAAGTTTTTATTAGTCACATAACTGGCTTAACTACTCTTACAAAGATATAAAGTTCTTATAAGATAGTTTTTACTATCCGGGTATTTATTAATAAGTATATTCCATTAGGCTTCAAATTTATTAGAGCAAAGTGAATTACGTATCACTAAAAATTTAGAACGAAATGATTCAAACTGATCTCTCAACTTTCCTTTAAGCTTTTTTCTTAAATTTAGATCAATATAAAAAATGCAATAAAGATGTCATATCTCTGGGTAATTATTTTTTACTGACGATATTAATGCTGGATCAGTTAATTCTTGGAAAACCCATGTGAATGTTGCTTCTGTTTCATCTTCTAAAAGCACAGCAGCTACTATTAAATTCCAAAAGTTATTGTCAACAACTATAACTAATATTAATATCATATCAAATTGATTAGTTTTCGATATTGTATTAACAATTATAACATCCCAATATCTATTATAAGCATCAACTTAACTAGGGGACATCCAAAACAATAAATTTAGCCTTCTTTCATCTAGCTCAAACCGGGGCTTTATTATCTAGTGTTGGGATCCGTTTGGTTAAACATCTGGATATTTGTAGATAGTACGAATATTCAGATATCAAATTTTGCTCACAGATAGTGAATCTGGATAATAAAAAATATTCCGGATACCTATTAGACCTTTTAAGTATACAATATTGGGCAAAAATTGTCGAATAACGGTAATTTGGCAAATGGGCACGTGCCGCTTTGTGGCACGTTAGCCAATTATTTGCCAAATTACCGTATTCGACAATTTGTCCAATATTGGTGTTATCCGGCAATTTATGATCATGATTGGTAAGGAGTCGCTCGCTGTGTTTTAATTTTGAATATTGGAATAAACATAATTGCATATTAACACATGAAAAAAAATAACAAGAAGAAATTTTTTCATGATTATATGAGTTTGCCGGATAATTTACTATAATAAGAATAAAATAATTGGTCAGCACATTCTAATTGGCTATTATCCGGATATCCATAATATTTATAGATATTTGGATGGCCATTTTTGAGCACAGATATTTGTCAATAGATACTGATATCCTATCCGGATTGCTGTTTTTGAGCGCGGATGACTATCTGAATATCCAAATTGGCCAACACTATTATTATCTACCTTGGATCATCATCTTTTTTTAAATATAACGCAGTAAGCATATTACATACATCATTTTTATTTGGCTTTACTTGCTTTTTGAATTTTTATATAGCGTTACTTAAATCTTTTTTATTTATTACTTTATATGAAAATGATACAACTAGTAGATTATATTGAGTCGCTATACCTATTCTCCCATAAATAGTCCAAAATTTAACTTTTTCTAGCATTTCATCCATTAATTTTCTAAATTTTGGTGCTATTTCAGCAATGAGAGAATTCATCTCATGATTATATTTACTGATTATACTATTAACCTGAATTTTATCAGTAGATTTAGAAAAAGCAAGGATAATGTACCAAGAACACCCAGTCATATGTGAATCTCATTCCCTTCTGTCCTCTTCTAGAATTGTCTTCTGAGGTTCGTATGTACCAGTATAAGAACATTCATATGTTCGACATCTTATAATAGTATTATCCTTTGGATCTACTATATGTTTTCTTTTACTTATAGTAAAGCCTTCTTGTTTTGTATAGTCATCAAAGTATTTTTCAGCTAGATCCCATGTATTAAACTCATTTTCTGTATTTAATATTAATTTTTTATTGTCATTGTCATTATCATCATATTGGATTAAATTCTCATCATTAATTAGTTCTTCTGGTTTAAATATCTCTGTATCTTCATACGAGAATTCATTATCTGTCTCTGAAAAGTAACCAGAACACTCTTCACCATATTCACAAGGATATTGAAAACAGAATGAATTACTGTAAAAGTTGGCTTCCATTTATAAGCAAAATGTTAATTTATTTTAACAAGGTAGAGTAGTTTGGCACACTTATATACTACAAGCGATAATATGTTGAGACAGGTTTTATTTAAGAAATTGAAACTGATAATTCTTTGATTTGGTTACAAAGGCAATTAAATGTTCTTTATTTAATTTATCAAATAGTGCTCATACATATTGTAATCAAATTACTCGATTTGATAAAATGTAGAGTGTTTTGTGGTTTTTTAAAGAGAACTTGGGAGATTTTTTTTTTTAAAGCTAAGTATTCTTTTTTGCTTAAGACAGAGAAGATGTCTTTTTACAAGATCTTTTTGTAAATCATTTTATACGATTCAAATTTACTAACACTTAATCTTTAGGTTCATGTTACTTGCCCTACAACAATTTGTCTGACAGCTATTTTTTTAATAATATTCTTAAAAATATTACTAAAAAAATAGCTGTCTGACAAATTGTTATAGGGCAAGTGACATGGACCCTTAATCTTTTGGTATTTTTTGATGCGATCATGAAACTATTCACTATCCCTAGTTATGTATAATGATTTTATGTATAATGATTTATGTATAATGATCGTATGCAGTATTGTCAATTGGACAGTTTTGGTTTTTGGACACTGTGTCTAAAACCTGTTCAAAACCTTGTCCAAAACCAAATTAAATTTAATTGGTTTTGGACAAATAGTACCATTTAAAGCAGAAATAAATTATATGATTAACTACCAATCAAATTATAGAATATTAATAATTGTCATCAAAGCAAATGAAAAAGAAAAGTAAAAAATCTATCTAAATCTATCTAATTAAAAATATCAGAAAGACAATTTTGCATATCTATAATTATTTAAAACCTCTTCTAAGCTTATTCTAAAATGACTCTAACCAATTAACAGTTGATCATATGGGCTAGGTGCAATAAAAAAGGGGGAAATTGACAAATTTTTAATTTTATTTTTTTTACATAAATCAATTCAAAATAAGATTAGAACTATTTTTTACTTAAAATACAAAAGCAATTATATTAATAAAATTTTGTAATATAGTTCTTTAAAGTTTATATTTTCTTATAACTTATTATAAAATTTATAACATAAAAATTGATCTTTTGAAGATCTTTTGTTTTGTTGATTTTCCCCTTTTCTATTGTATCTAGCCTATATTATTTATCTTCACTTTAGGCATCCTTCAAATATATATAAAAATTAAAAATACTAATTTGATATGAATTAATTTAAAATTTACCAATAGATGAAATTCACTAG